CTATAGCAGTAATTCCTCCTACTCCGAACTAGGTTCAATCTGATGATATAAAAAAAAAAAACGGGAGTAAAAAACCTGAGAAGAATCTTCAAGCTAGATTCTGCTTCATTATTTTTTTTTATTCATGAGGGGGCAGATTCTTAAGATTTCAAGTCAAAGTTACATTACAAGCACACACATTCATTAAAAAGATCCTAAAAGCAAACTCCAATATCTTTAGTTCAAGTGTGACCAGAGTGGGAAAGACCATTGTGAGAGATTAGAGCAGTATTTCTCAATCTTGGCAACTTTTAAGATATGTGGACTTCAATTCCCGGAATTCCCCCAGCCAGCCATGAAAAAGAATGGATTAGAGGCTGGCAACAGTCATAACAGAGATAAATGACTGACTAGATGTGTGTTATTTGCATTCCGCTACTCATAAGACGGTCTTCATTTCTAATAAATGAGCCTACTGTGTGAGAAACATGTAACTGATCTTCCCTACCTAGTATATCAACATCTTCTACTTTTACCAACAGTCAGATACTGATGAGTTCTTCAACAAAGCTGGGCTTTCTTAATAACAACAGTTGTACAAACATAAGGTTCTCTTTGTTAAAGAGAAACAGACATCAAAAAGCAGTAAAACATGGAGCCTTAAACCCCTTTTTGTTTGAAAAAAAAATGTGTTTGAACCGAGGTGTTTCTAGTTATGGGTGAACGCAATGAGAATTCAGCTGCAACAAATAGGCAGCCATTCCCTAGGAAGGACTAATTAGATCCATCTGAGAAACTATGTCTACGCTGCTTTACACGTTTCAAAAAAGAAAGCTCTGCTCTAGTCTTTTGAAAAGGCTACATCAAAACAGTTAGTCACAGCTGATGCACATCTAGTCAGTACAGTAGTGTTATTTTCTTTTCATGCTATAAAGCCTTAAGAGCCACATTAAAGTCATGGTAATAAGCCTGTCTTGCCCTGAGAAAGGCAATGAAATTTAGAGCAAAGAAAGCAAGCTTTGGCAGCATCATTCTGAGAAATCTCCCCACTGGGCATGAATTTCAGAGGTCCTGTATCAAGATGAAATAGCTTGCACATCAGACATGTTCCATCAGTGAAACAGTTAAAAATGAAGAGCTAATATTCAGGATACAGAGAGTTAACTATTTCTTTGGCAGATTTATATCTGGTACTTCGACTTTATCGTGAAAATGCTAATAGATATAATTGAGTATGGGCAAACCAGCAGCAGGAGTTCACGGTTATAAGCTATGACTTCAAAGCAGATGGTCACAGTCTACCTACTGTGCAATTATGTGTGTCTCATTTATTTCAGTGATGCCAAACATTAGGATTGGCATAGCCAGTGTGGGCTTACAGCAGAGTTCAGATGTTTGCTAACACTGGGACCCAAAACCAAGGACCTAGCAATAAAAAGTGACTACCAAATAACTTCTTTCAAAAAGATTCAAAATGCATTAGGAATAACCATTTGAAGCTATTTGCTTCTACTGCTAAAAGCTTTTCCTAAAAAATGCATCTATGGCCATAAGCCAGGAATGGCATGGAGTGGAACTCATTCTGGTTCCTCTAATGAGAAAAATAAACATTACTAACCCCAAAAGGCATAAAACAGAAAGAGTAACAAAAGAACTTTTAAATTAAATTTTGCAACAGATTATTTTCATTGTATGAACTCTAGTTAATTAGGAGGTCTACCCTTCATGATGATCCTGCAGCAGAAGTAAAAGAAAGAGCTAGAGCCATGTCCTTTGGCCATATGAACTAGAAAGGAAGGAACCAAACACTCATTAGTTCTAGAATGTTCTAACTGAAGCTCCACAGTAGAATCCAGAAATGTACAGAAGTTAAAAAAAAGAATTTCCTTTTAAAAATTGAATACTATATCCCATCATTTTCATTGAATGACCCAGAATTCCAGTATTTTAAAACCATATTTTAGAAGTAATACCAAATCATCTAAAATTATGCCAATATATATCCATAAGAACAACTGATAAGAAAAATAAACAGAAAAAACATATCTTGGGGCAACAATTAAAAAAGAGATTATTGATACAATAGAAAACAGACCTGGTTAGGATAAATGAAATAAGAAAAACAATTCTCCTTAATTGCCTTTCCAGACACTTGAGGAGACAGTATATATATGTATTATATAATATTCTGTCCATTAGATGGAACCAAATAACAGATTTGACTCAATTGATTTCACTGTGTTGTCTTTTGACTTGGACCTGATATCAATGTTGCCCAACTGAAACTATAATCTTCTAACCTACCATCAGTGGTGGGTTCCTCCTGGTTCCGCCGAGCCAGTAGCAGTGACAATATGACATCACCGAACTGGTTCTGCCCCCCCCGCACCCCACCACTATTTGGCCCCACCCCCAATCTATTGCTGCCTCCTGAGTCCCAGCTGATGGGCTATAAGGAAAAAAAGCCGTGGGGCTTCAAAGGGCCACCCTACAGCTGATCAGTGGTAAAAGGCAGTTTGATGGTTGACCGGTGCCTCCAAAAACAAATGAGTAGACCGGTGCCTGAAAAAATAAGTGGGTAGACCAGTGCCTGCAAAAAATATATGAATAGACTGATGCCTGCAAAAATACATGAGTAGACCAATACAGCTCTGCAAGCAGTTAAAAGCCTGGTAGACCAATACCTCTGCTAAATCCTAAAGAATTGTCACATGACCATCAAGCCACGCTCACAAAATAAGCCATGCCCACAGAACCGGTAGTAAAAAAAATTTAGAACCCACCCTGCCTACCATATATATATCCTGATAGATTCAGGATAATGATGCTGAATATATAACTTCCATGTGAGTAAGATTGGCTGTATGTACAGTGTACAGTGTACTTTCAATATTTATTACCTCATACCCATTTACTCCCTCTAATGTGAACAGGAGGCCCTATACAAGGTTGGACTAAGATCCATATTTAAAAACAGCAGTTGAGAAAGATGAGGGGGAAAAAATAACAATTATGGTTAGAAGGTGTATTTAATCAACAAGGTCATTAAAGCAATGCAAGTGGATGTAAGATTTCAAGATAAAATGGTAAGTGTGAATAATTAGAAACAAAATGTGCTTCAAAAGAAAATATTTCAACATAGTATACATATTTATATGGAAGAAACATGCTAAATATTGCTGGAGAAAATACAAGTGCAACTAATCAAAATGCATTATCTGAACCAAAACATCACAATAAAACTATTTCAAGCTAAAACTAACAACTTTAATTTTTTTTTCATGCTGGTGCTTTCATAAAAGCAGTGAATTATTTCCTGATATGGGAAAGATGGCATATGAAACTTTTCCCTAGAAAATCTGCAAATGTAACTGTTCCTTGTTTTGGTTTCCAGCCACAAAGCAAGATAAAGTCTGTTGGAAGTAAACTCACTGAAGAAATGGTTCCTCTGCATTCCATATCAGAACATACCAGGTGTGATTGCAGGGACAGTAAAAAGACAAAAGCACAAAGCAAAAACTACTCTGAATTCTAAGGTAAAATATTTGATATTTAAACAGTTGGAAGTATGATACTTCCAGAGCTAAAAATCTCAATTTATTCCCAAGATATTTAATATTAGGAGGGAATCAAAATGAGCATGTTTCCTGTTTTCCAATTGAGAGATATACACAGCCGAGAGGAAAATAAACCAAATAAATATTGAGAGAGCAGGACTGAGTTGGGAGGGGCTCACTCCATTTTGACGAAGGGCATATATTATACAGGTAGTCCTTGACTTAATACAGCAATTGGGACTGGAATTACTAAATACCTAGCTGCCCCTGCCACCTCCCCACAACCAAGTCAGTGGGGAAGACGCAGGAAGTTGCAAGTCCCAGATGCTCGCAAGCAAGCAAGTAGGTTATGCCAGATGGGGAAGGGCAGAAGGGGGCATACAAGGGTGCAAGGGAGATGTGGCAAGGATTGGGGAGGGTCCATGAGATTATGAGTTACTACATGTGAATCCATGTGCATTCTGAAACACATTTTTCTATTTGAAGTTGAAGTCATGTACTGTTAAGAGAGCATATGTCCCAGTTGAGAGAAGAGCTCAAATGGGGAATTAGGATGGACATTGATTAAACACAAGAGGGCAAGGACTGATTGTCCTCCCCCTTAAATGCCTTTGAGCCTTATCTAGTCTTTCCCAGAGAAATCTGCTAGTCTGGGAAGTAGGCATAGAACAATAAAGTAGCTAGTTTGAATTCTATACAGGTAGTCCTTGACTTACGACAATAATTTAGCCCAAAATTTCTGTTGCTAAGCAAGACATTTGTTAAGTGAGTTTTGCCCCCATTTTACAAGCTTTCTTGCTACAGTGTATTGTATTGTATTGTATTGTATTGTATTGTATTGTATTGTATTGTATTGTATTGTATTGTATTGTATTGTATTGTATTGTATTGTATTGTATATTATATTATATTATATTATATTATATTATATTATATTATATTAGGTTCGTAACAATGCTGTTTAGTGAATCTGGCTATGCTCGTCAGAACGTGGAATACTGCAACCATCATAAATATGAGTCAGTTGTCAAGCATCAGAATTTTGATCATGTGATCATGGGGATGCTGGAACAGTTGTGTGAAAAATTATGTCGCTTTTTTCAGTGCTGTTGTAACTTTGATTGGTCACTAAATGAATGGTTGTAAGTCAAGGACTACCTGTACATTTGGGTCTGTTTGTTCAAGCTTGACATGTACATTTATTCTGACATAAGTTTTTTATGATTACATTACATAATATGCTTTGGATGAAATTGATCTAGTCCACAACATATTAAATCAAAATAGACTTGATAGACTTTAAGGTACAATAAGATTTGTAACTGATTTCCTAAAAGCAGATCAACAGAAATATCCCTTTCAGGAAACTATTCAGGTGCTTTATTTAGTCTAAATCATGGAATCTTAATCAAACATACCACACAATTACAAAACGTTATTTATTACAATAGTGAGAATACTTACGAAGTAAGTGGATCCTTGACGAGAAGCTACAACTGAATGAGTTGTGTCTCCAAGCTGGACATATAATTCCCAGGTTTTTTTATCAGGTTGAGCAAGGGAAATCCTAAAAAAAAAACAAGGCAATACATTACAAATAGCTTCAGTTTAGTTAATTAAGCTGGCTAAGAGGGTGCTTTTAATTGTAAAGAAAAAAGTGATGAATCTGCTTCTTCAAACGCCACTCAACTCATGCTACTTGGGGATGAGGGACAAGTATGTTACAGTCTTTGGTCTTATGGAATTATGAGGGAGGCTTACACTCAGTCTTGAAACAAGACCCTAAACACTTTTGTCTGACATGACATAATGGTAGCTTCGAGGCAGATGTAGCTACATTCTAATTCTCCTCTGAGAGTTAGGGCTGCTCTGTAAATAAGCAATGTCAGAAATATTGTGCTCCTACTTTATCTTAAAACATAAACAAGCTGAAATATTTTCTTATTAATAAGAACAGCAACAAAACTGCAGTATGGGATCCCAGTGTTAAATATATAGAAATATACATATTTCCAATATAGTCCTTACTGTAAATTCATCGAGTCTTAGAAAACAGATCAAATTACAAATTTTAAGAGAAAGAAGCAATATTTGAATATGTTTTTGGAAAGAAACACTTCAAAGAAAAAGAAGCATATAAATGAGTTTAGACCAGTATACTAATCAGTAATATACAAGATTTCTAAAATGAAAATTTCAGGGAATTACTAGTCTCCCAGTGCAAACTTTGTATCTTTGAATAACTGCCTTTCCAATCATACCAAGGAGTTTGTCCTTTCATACTGTCCTTAAACTGCATTCAGCTGTGATGTTCTAGACATCTGACAATGTTTAGGCTATGCCAGCTGCTTACCATGCTAATCATAATTTCACATTGTTACCCTATGCTCTCTTCCATCCTTTTCATTTGGCTACCTGTTCATTATCATAATTGGCCCACTTTTCTCCTTGAGTTCCTCTCCTGTGATTGTATGACCTTGTTATAACTCAACATATGTTTAGTGATTTCATTACACCAGAAGCCTATCTCTTTTCAGTTCTGTACAAATACTACGAATAATCCTATACCAGGCTATTTTTCTTAATTACATCTATAGAAAAGGAAGCCTAGAGAACTTAATCCCATTTAGGAAGATATGTTATATCATCAAGAAACTTCCTGACAACCAGAAACTCAGACGACAAACAAATATTAATAATGGAACTGAATTCTCGATGTACACTACAGTATGTAAATTAAAACTATAATCTGTATATAAAGCAATCTTAAACTATAACAGCAAATTCATAGATTTAAAAGATTCAGTATCCTAGATAAACCAAGTTTTATTGAATTTATTATATAAGGTTAATTGTTCAATACAATAATTTATGACATATCTGAGGTGCAATTCCTTATATCTTCAGTTTAAAACACATAGAAGTAGTCCTCAATTTACAACAGTTTGTGCAGTGACATTTCAAAGTTACAATAGCACTGAAAAAGTGACTTACAAACATTTTTCACACAACTGTTGCAGCATCCCCATGGTCACATGATCAAAATTTAGCTGCTTAGCAAGTGGTTCATATTTATGACCATTGCTGTGTCCTGGGGGTCATGTGATCATCTTTTGCGATTTTCTGACAAGCAAAGTCAATGGGGAATCCAGATGCACTTAACAACCTTGTTACTAATTTTAAAAAATGCAATGATTCACTTAACAACTGCAGCAAGAAAAGTCATAAAATGGGGCAAACTCACTTAGCAACATAAATTTTGGGCTCAATTGCAGTCATAATACGAGGACTACCTACAGTAGGTAGGTAGTCCTCAACTTACTATAACGGAGCTTGTTATTATGGTCACAAATCATGACAGCTGTTAAGTGGGTTACCCATGTGAGCAATCCGATTTGTGGTAACCGTTTAAGCAAATTTGGCACCTCAAGCCAATGGTTCATTATGGGCCAGTTTTGCTGAAAACTGGAAGCAAAGTTCATTTTTTGGCAAAACTATCATAAAACACAGTCACACAATTGCAGGATGCTGCAAATGGCCATAAATGCAGGCCAGTTACCAAATGTCCAACATGTAATCACTGTGGAAGGGTGGGGGTTGGAAGTTCAGAACAGTTAAAACTGTTTAACTGTCAGTTCCAACTGGCGAATCCAGTTGGATTTTTTAAAAAAGCAGCAATGGTAAGGATTGTGTTACTAGGAGAAATGAAAAACAGTTTCTGCAAGCAAAAATACTCCACTTAGATCCGCTTGGTTTTATCGCAAGTATTCAGGTAATTGTTACTGCTACATTGGAATAAATGGAAGCAAAGAATGTTCTTTTTATTTAAATGGTATTTCAGAAATATAGCCGGACCAATGTTTGTGCAACTTCATTTCCTCAAGTTTTGTTACCATTCAGCAATACAGGTAGTCCTCGATTTACAACAATTCATTTAGTGACCGTTCAAAGTTATAATGGCACTGAAAAAGGTGACTTATGACTGTTTTTCATAGTTACGACCTTTCCAGCATCCCCATGATCATGTGATCAAAACTCAGATGCTTGGTTATTGATTTGTATTTATGACCGTTGCTGTGTCCCAAGGTCATATAATCCCCTTTTGTGATCTTCTGACAAGCAAAGTCAGTGGGGAAGCCAGATTCACTTAACAACTGGGTTACTAACTTATCAAGTGATTCACTTAACAACTGTGGCAAGAAAGGTCATAAGATGGGGCAAAATTCATTTAACAAATGTCTCACTTAACAACAGAAATTCTGGGCTCAATTTTGTTCATAGGTCAAGGACTACCTGTAGTATCTTATTATTAACATTAAAATACTAATTGGCAGCCTTGTTTTTTTTTTCAGGCTTTGCATCTGCAAAGATATACAACTTTTTTATTGACTTGCCATCACCCTATTGTCTGTAAACTATTCAACTACTCAAGTATTAATTTAGTAGGTTCTACTCAATGAGTCTATTATTAGCAAAATATCATCACAAAGCATAGCCATAAAATGACTATATTAATATGACACATAAAAATTGGGCCGTCCTTTCTGAAGCTGTCAGTCTCAGATCAGCACCTTGATCTCAGAGGGAAAAGGCCTTCTGAAGAGAAAGAGTTTGCAATTTCTACTCTATTTGGAATCACAATGCTTGATTGTAAGGCTAGAAGCTGCTGCAAATAGATGAATCAAGAAATTTCCATATCATATTACCTTCCCTGCACAACATATCCATGCTCAGGCTCTATTCCCAAGATTTAAATCCATACAGTTGAACCATCCTGCTATGGAACAGTGAGTCTCCCTCTCGTATTTGATTGAACCGGTAATCACAAAGTTCAGCTTCTGAACTTCATGAGAGTGTAAGAAGTAATGCCGTTATCAACCATCTGGAGCCATGGACAAGCTGAAAGAAAAGGCTGTATAGTCACAGCCAATTCATTAGTGGACATGTTGGAGAAGGCTTCTATAATAGTTTCAACAAATCAAACTACTGCATGTTGCATGTAAAACTTTTCTCTTGACTAATTTGCTGGCTTCAGATCTAGAACAGCTCTTCATTTGCTGTTCTTTTTAGGCATAATGTAGCTCAGACAGCAGATCAAGAAGATCAGATATTCTCGGTGGATGTCACTGGTTTAATTTCTCTGAAATTAGCCAATGTTTCTCTTCCTGAACCTGTCTGGATGATAGGACAAAGTGATACTCAGAGATTTTTACTGAAACCTACAACTCTGGGACGTGTTTTATAAAAATCGTATGTTGGTTGTTATTTAGTTTCAGAGGTTCATGATTTAACAATTACCTGAGGGTTGTGATTATAATTGCTGTATGGGCCTCCTCCCCTTTTTTGTTTTTTGAATATTAGGAAAGGTAGATCTTTTTGGAGATTGGACAGTTGTTGTTTTGGTTTCAGCTAGGATTTTCTCTCAGAGGTGCAAATTACCTTGAGTTCTTGGTTTCTACTCTTATAGCAATAAGATGGAAAGGGAGAAGGTGTATAATTGGGCTATGTTCCCCTACCCCTGAGCTTCCCGTTCTTCTGCAAAAGAATTAGAGCTAGCATCAATAGAAGACAGCCCAATAGTAAGAAAGACACATCTTCATTTTATTAGATATAGATAAATAGAATGTTCTATTTCAATAGGCTTAGTATCTGAGAATTTGTTTAGTATCAACTGTACATCACTGTCTTTGTGTGCCAGGAGCAGAGTTATCTGCATATCAAACTAAAAGAAGCAATTCCAAAAGAATAAAGCTACTGGCAGGAGAAATAAGCATTTATACAATCAGCAATGCGCAGAAGCACACGCACTTGCGGCCCCATTACAAACTGGTAGTAAAGGTAAGTAGAACCCACCCGTGTTCAAGTGGTGAAGGTCAAAGGGAGATCTGTCCAATTGGTACTAGATTTTACACTCCCTCTTTCAGACAGGACGTGACAACATGCAAGTGAAGAAAAGATTGAAGAGGTCTGAAGCTGGCACACATCCCTGCTTCACCTCAGTGGAAGCAGCAAATGTAAGTGATTTATCACAACTGTAAAGAACCTATCCTTCATTCCATCACAGAGCAACTGATCAACTTCACAAATCTTTCCCAGTATCCATAACATGACAATCCTGAATACAATGACAAATGTCTTTGTCATGTCAATGACGACAGAGTAAAGAAGCTTGTTCTGCTTGCTACATTTCTCCTGGACTTGCCTCATGGCTACTGTACTCCATTCTGGCCGAAAGCCACACTCTTGAGAAGTTCTTTTCTGGCAAGTCTGTTCAGGAGAATGTGGGGGGAAATCTGGTCAACAATGGACAGCAGTGAAATATTCTTGTAATTTCTGCAGTCTGTGATTCCCTTATTTTTATATTCCCTTATTTTTATAGAGAGACACATCTATTCCAGGAGGGCATCATGGAATCAGTTATCTCCTCTGTGAACCAAGTATTTTCCAAGATCTCTTGAAATACCTGTAAGGTTTTCAGGCCTAGTGCTTTGCAGATCTCAGCAGGAATGCCATTCTGTCCTGTTGCTTTATTTGAATTCATCTGTGAGATCCCTTTCTTGATTTCTTCAGTAGAGAGAGGCAGGTCTAGGGCATTCAAGACTGATTGCTGAGGAATTGTTGTAAGACATTAGGATCAACTATGGATGGCCTATTGAGTAGGCTGGAAAAGTGTTCAGTCCAGTGTTTTTCAGTCCTTTCTGGTCTTTATCAGGCTTAATCCATTAGATACCAGCAAGGGGTAGCATCCTGATTTAGAAGTTGACTATATTGCACTGAGGAACTCTCTGGTGGCATGAGTGCATAGCAATCCACCTGCTTAGCCTTTCTTTGCATTTCTTGCAATTCCACCTGTAGTTTGGATTGTCTTTCTTTGATACAAATGCTGAGTGATTCTGCCAATCAGTATAGACTTGGTTCTTAGCCTGGAGGGCTACTTAAATGATCTCATGGTTTTCATCAAACTAGTTTTGATGCACCCAAGTTTTCAGTCCGAGTAAAGTTGTTGCAGTCTGCATGATCACATCTTTAAACGGCATCCACATTTTAGAACAGATTTTCACAAATGGTAAACTGTTGGAGAATTTGTCATTAAATACATCTGGAAAACGTTGGGCTTGACCTAAATATTAAAATCTGCTGGTGCTAAAGTACATACTGACAGTTCTTGGTTGCGTACGATATAAAAGATCTATACGTAGGTTGATGATAGACTGAACCAGCCTGTGATCTATCCAGAACTCGGTAACATACATGGTTGGGTGATGTTTTTAAGGTCATGCTGGAGGACTATGACATAATCAAGTAGGTGCCAATATCTGAACCTGAGATGTATCCAGACTGTTTGTACTCGTTTGCAAGGCTTAACATTGTGTTGGTAATGCACAGGTTGTGCTCAAAAGCAGTAGGCCATTACTGCTTAGTGTTCATCTTTCCCAAGGACTCCATCCCAATTGTCCCTCTCTGACCCCACCCTAAAATACCTAAAATTCCAAATTGCCTAGAATGACAAATTGGTCACTAGCAGGGATTTTCCAATTAATCTGATCTGCATCCTCATAGAAACTCCCATCCATTCACTGCCTTCTATAATGAACTCTCATCTGCAAGCCTGGTCAAACTAAGTGCAATGGTATAAATGAAATATCAGCAAAGTTTGGCCATTATGAACACTATTTGTCTTTCAGTCCTTGACACCTTGTCTATCCAGCAAGATGTGGATGTTCCAAGCTCTGAAGATGGATTTTCTATTTAATTTTCTTGATACATTTCGACCGCAAAGGAGCAGTAATAACTAGCTAGATGTTGTGAGACATGTAGTGTTAGGGTATCTTTTCTAATCCCTTCCCTCATATGAGGACAGACAGTGCTATCCTAAAAGGGCTACACAGTCAATCTAGATGCTGCCAGACATTTCTGTTGCCCCAGGCAGAGAGACAAATGACCACTGGTCCCAAGGCTACCTACATGCAGATCCTGGACACAAACTGTTTCAACTTCTTCCCTCAAGACCTATATATGTCCCTATAGGGGATTGCATGCCAAAACAACCAGACATAAAGACAGTTTCCCCCACCCACCCCCATGCCATCACTCTGCTAAACAACTAATTCCCACAACAATTCTTATGCCCTGGGATGTCAAACTACCTACCAGTAGTAAGGCTGTATTACTATTACTATTGCTTTTTTTCCTAATGCCATCACTCTGCTTAATAACTAATTCCCACAACACTGTCAAATAATTTACTAAGACTGTATTACTATTATTCTTCTCTTCCTTACTAGTATCTATCTTTTCCCACTTATTATTATAACCATATCGCTTGCATCTTTAAATTTATATTGTTTTTATTTCTTTCCTAGTACGATTTGATAGCTTATTATTAACCTTGACTATCACTAAGTGTTGTATCTTTTTATACTTGATGAATGTATTTTATTCTCCTTATGTATACTGAGAGCATATACACCAAAGACAAATTCCTTGTGTGTCCAATCACACTTGGCCAATAAAGAATTCTATTCTATTCTATTCTATTGTCCTTCTCATCTTTCCTATTACCCAGTTCCTTAGCTTCTTATGACTATAACTTTGTTGTTTGTATCTCATGGTTTATGTTGATTGCTTTTATTAGTATCCTATTGATTTATGTTGATTATTTAGTATCCTATGACTACCACTGAGTGTTGTATTTTATGATATATGATTATTGTATTTTATGATTATGATCATGATTTATCACTTGTTGCTTGTATGTACGCTGAGAGCTTATGCACCGGAGACAAATTCCTTGTGTGTCCAATCACACTTGGCCAATATAGAATTCCATTCCATTCTCTATTCCATGCCATGCCATGCCATGCCATTCCTTCACACTCCCCAAGGCCACAGGACTTAATGAATTATATTTGAACTTAACTGAATTGCACAATAGAAACTTGTGCGTAATGGACTTTTAAGTGAAAAGCCATGGCACAGGAGCAATCCCACTTTCTTGGCAGAAGACACTTTAATGCAGTGGCATGGATACCCATTACAGCTGGGGACTTTACCTGCTGCAGTGCATGACCAAGATGTCTAAGTGTCTTCTTGTGTTCTTAGCATTCCGTAATACATGCTGGGCCTGCATTCTTGACCACTGGACTATTGATTGGTCTCCCCCACTCAGTCTGCCAGGGCCAGATTTCTTATGCTAGGATAGACAAATCCCCTGCCCCACAAAGGGTTGGAGATCCGTCAGCAACTCTCACCTGGTTTGACCCATTAGCCAAGACAGTTTACCAGGGTATGGTCACTCTCTGTGTAACAGCTACAAGGAGCCATCAGTGAGAACTGAATGGCAGGTGGGGATCAAGGTGAACAAGCAGCTCTAAAAAGGACTTGCCAGGCTCCTTCACTCCACTTTCCCACCCTGGACACTCCAGACACAACTGATCAAGTTACTAATGCAGGTTATCAAAAGAAAGGAAGGAAAATATTACATATAGTTCGTTAACACACACAGACAATTACAGTATTCCATTTCTTCCATATTTGCTTCCTCACCAAATGCTTTAGGGTACAAACATCAGTGTTCTACATGTGAAATATGAGTTTTATTTATCTACTGTCTCAATCCAACATATTTAAATTACTTAAATACTTAAAAAAAACACATTACCAAACAATAAATATAATACAATAATACAAAACCCAACATTATTGCTAAACTGTATAACAGTCCAAACAATGCAAACTCCATTCATTATCGTGGTAAGTATCTATTCTATTTAAGCTTCGATAGTCAGCAATCAACTTCCATATGAAGTGAATTATTTGGTTCGCAGAAAAAAATGATGAATTTTCCCATCTAAATTTGCAACCGCTCTAGATGATACTTAAAAGATGTTAAGAGTTATGAGATTATGTCTCATTAAATTTTGAAGTATTAGTTGACAAAGAAAGTAAAACTATATTAATGTCTTTTTTACATTCACAGGGAAGATCAAATCAACTCCAGCATTGAAAAACAATTTTGCGTGACTCACCTAAACTAAGAAGCTATTTTTTTCCTGTTGCACAATTACCTAAATAAAAATGATACCCTGATTTTAAACAATATCAATGGTCAAAGAATAATTAAGAAATCCTTCATCATAACTTTCACAGTTGGAGGCTTGTAAATGATCAAGAATAAATATGTTATATTTCTTAGCCACCAAGGACAATTTCTAAATACAAATCTTTATAACTGAAAAGGGGGAAGGGGTTTGGGCGGGGGGACTTCAGAAAGCGGGCCATTCATCTGAATCAAGTTCAGAGAATTTCCAGGACTGTGAAAAGAAATGTTATGCAAGCACATCAATGTATTCTGTGGGGGTAGACTGAACCAGCTACATGGAGACTACAAAGGAGCCCTCCCATGGCTCATGAATAAGTTGAGGAAATGATCAGAAAAAAAAAATAGAGAGATGTTTAGACAGATGGCCCACTTAAAATGCCTGGGACAGGGCATAAGCAATTTTAATGAAACTTTAGATCTAGCGTAAAAATTGTGGTTTTCTTTTAAAGGGAAGGGCAGAGGGAATAAAGGCAAATACATTTTTAACAGTTCGCATACCACCTATTTTATGGCAGAAAAGGCAAAGCAATTTCAGCGTTATTTGTTTAAAAGTTCAAATCCAGAAACATCTTTTACAGTGTCTTTAGCTTCACAGAATACAGAATTTTTGATATAAAGATGAAAAGAATTTTAAACAGGAGCTGATTGCCAAACAAAGGAAAAATGTTCTCCTATTTAAATGCTATCAGTGTTTTCACACAAAAGTTTAAAACGTTGTAAAAAGATTAAAAGCAGAACTTTTTGTTTCTATTTTTCTAGCATTTTGCCTTCTCTACAAAACTGACTCTCATTTTCCTATGCTCTGAAGCTCAAAGACAAAAAGAACATTACAGAGTGCAGAAAAGGAAGAAGCACATAACCAAATTGTGCTGTAGAGTTTACTTTTTAAATATATATATTTTCTCTAAAATATGCAA